TTTTTTTTTTTTTTTTAGTATGAATCAGATGCAGCAGGAGAAAGAGTTAACAGAAAACATTTTGAAAGTGGTGAGTTAGCATTTCTGAAATACATTGAGAGCATAGTTAGATGCTTCATCTACTCCTAGGTATGTAAGTTGGGTTGTTAAGACCCAGGCACAATGAGTTAAGCTTTTACTGGTAGACTGCAGCTGAGCTTTTGTTGATCACGTGGCTCTAAGTCACACAGATTTTCCGCTTTCAATGTTAGTGAGCTCTACACTGGTTCTCTTTTCACATATCAATACTTGTAGATATGAGAAATCAATCTTCCAGGTGATGTCTACATATTCTAAAATATCTGTAGTAAACCTGTGTTAATTATGTTTGAATATTACTTTTAAAGTCAGAAAACTACAGTAGTTATTTTAAAAACTTGTCTAAAAATAGAAATGTGATTTTTAAAATAATTTTATAATTAGAAAAGAAAAAGGTCTCTGTGATTCTCATACGTAACTTACAGTGTGCCAGAGCCACTATGTAAGATGTGGGAGCCCAAGGACGGAGGGGAGAGTAGGCAGCTGTGCATATGGAACATCTGTTTGCTGGAGTAGATGGAATATCGAAGCAGAAGGCTGCTGCTTTTTGTATTTGTGATGTCTAGTTGTGTAATGGCTGCCACTTGGAGGCATATAAACACTTCTTGAGTAAATTAAGCAGAACAGTATACTTTTAAAAACATTTTCCTGTATTCTTAAACTTTTATATAGGGGGAAAACACATTAATCTTTTTTCTGTTATTTTAAAATTTCACAATCAGAACTTAATTTTTTCCCCCTTAAGATAATCTTATTTCAACTCCAGCTATGTTGCACTTTATAAAAGGAGCCCAATATGATAAAGTGTCCTGTAGAGTTTTTTTTTAATTAATATGGTCAGTTATTGCTATTTTTGTGTTTAATGACTCACTTATTGACTTTCTGTAGCTAAAAGAACAGGCTGCTGATTCTATTTTAGTACTTGAGGCGGCCCTTCCATTAAACAAGGATCTTTATGTCCACACGATGAGAACTCTAGATCTATTGGCTGTGGAACCAGGCACGGCAAATGGAGAAACTGAGAGTTCTACTGCTGGTTTGAAAATCAAAACTGAGGAAATGCAATGCCAGGTATTTATTTTATTATTTAATCGGTGCATAATAAATTTTTTTTCTGAGACTCAGAATTGGTTTATGGACAACGCCCCATGCTGTCCTCTGCTCTTAGAACAGCTCTCACCATCAAAAGACCCAACCCAAGCCACCCACGTCCCTGAGGCTGGCGTCTTAGGATGGCTCCCTTCCCTGGGGGAGGCAGAGCAAGGACCCCCGCCTGCTCCCATCAGGTTGCTTTTGGGATGGGAAGATGCCTGAGCATCACACAGCACCAACCTCTTCGCAGCCATGCGACTCCAGGAGTCACCTTTACTGGGGTACAGAGATGGTGTGGCCTCTGCCTGTCCTGAAGTCACCCTAGAACAGTCACCTTCTCCTTCAGACTGCCCCCACCACTCCCCGAGATCCCAGCCATGGCAAAGGGGCTGGCAAGGAGGGAATGGGGAGGGAGGAGGGCCAGGGTCCCCCTGTTCTGTTCCCCTGGTCTCTGAGGGGCTGCAGTGCGTAATACTTTTTATGGCGAAAATCTCATATGTAGTCATTGTAGTGTTGTAGTGTTTGTGTCTGCCTTTCCCTCTTGAGTTTGACTTAAGCTACTACTTGACCTGTCGCCTTTGGAGTCATTTCCCAGGTGAATTTAGGGGAAGCGATTTTAAGGGATGAGAATGTAATAATTTGTCAATGATTTGTAGTTCATTCTTAACATTAAAAATCTAATTATACCTTTAAAAACAAACAAAACCCCACCAACAACCACCCTTCTCCCTCCAAAAGAAACAAAACAAAAAGTTATAATGTGTCTAGACTTCGGGAGGAAAAAAAAATCTATGCCCCTAGAGAAAATGTGTAGCTTTGAAAGGATCTTACAATTGTATTCTTTCTGTAACTCCGGGCCCCAGGTCCTTTGGCAGCTTTCACTTTAACAAATGGCTATACTTATTAAAACTTGATAGTTATCTTTTTGGTAACTTTGTATGGTCTTTTCGTAGAAAAGGAACCTCTACATATGGCTATTATCTGTACATAATGTATAATCACTCTTTTCCCCAAGATGGGAGCTCTCACGAATGAAAGTCAGCTAAGCATTTAATGTGGAATACATGGGAGCTTTAAAAAGTTCGTGGGAAAATTCCAGTATCTTTTAATTCCACTTTATTTAAAAAAAAACATTTTATTGGGTGCTTTTTTAACATCCCATACATCAATTATATCAGGCATATTTGTACATAAGTTGCCATCATCACTTCTAAAACATTTTCTACTTGAGCCCTTGGTATAAACTCCTCTTTTTTCTCTTCCCTCCCCCATAATTCCACTTTACACAGACTTTTTGAAGCCCCTTCACATTGTCCTCGAGGCTATGGGAAATTTATCCCCCTTGATTCATTGACTAGGATGCAGCAGTATCTACAATGGTTTTGAAGAATGAGTACTAGAGACACAGGAGTTTGGAGGAAGAATTATTAGGTATCTGTTGGCTCAGATAGATGAAAATCACTCACTGCCATCGATTTGATTCCAACATATAGTTAACTTCGTACAGGTTTTCCGAGACACTGTAATTTTATAGGAGAAAGACATCTCTTGCCTTTGGAGCGGCTGGTGGGTTTGGGTCATTTCCCATATGCTTAGCAGGTTAGTGCTAACTCAGCACCACCAGTCCTTGAATGAGATAAAAGGTTGTGGAGTGAAGCTCATTTTTAGGATATGATGTGAATAGAGCGTTGAGGAAACTGGTATGAATGAAATTAAAGAGAATAGAGAGACTTGGAAAGGAAGTTTGGCCAGATTATGAGGTGTCCTCTAAAGAACACAGGCCAAAGGGTTTGAACTTTATCCTGTTTAGGGGGATACAGGAAGGCTGTAGAATATGAGACATAGGGTATATTAGGAGCCTAGAGATCTGAATTCCAGGCTTGGGCTCTGCCATTACTTAGTTATTTGATGTACACACGGCACTTTCTGAGCCCTAAGAATCTGAGGCAGTTTGGAATTCTGACATTCAATGAATCTAGGAAAGTTCTTTGAAAAATATATACGTTTTGCTACTAGGAATAACAGTTGGAAAATTAGAAGAATTTTATCATCATTAACTTAAAATTCTTAATATTTTCTTCTAGCTAGTCCTCTTAGAGTAGACATTTGTATTCCCTCCTCCCACCTGTACTTTTTTTGGGTGGGGGCACCCCACATCCATTCCCCTCTGCTGTGTTAACCTGAGACTTTGTGGGAGGCAAAAACAGCTTCCTGTAGTGAAAACTGAAAACTCCACGTTGTACCTTTTTCAAGCCTCTTTCTCCTTGAGTGTGCCACATCACAGCAGTTTAACTGGAGCGTCCATCTAGCTCAGACTCTCCGCTTGGACCTAGATAGAACGTCAAAGAGCTGGGGATGAGAGAGAACCCGGTGACAATACAGTTTTGTTCTCAGAGGAAGCATTAGCAAGAGCCGCTATTTCTCCTCCCTCATACTGTGTTGGTGGCTGCAGGGGATACAAGCTGTAGAGTCTAGCGTTGAGATTGGAAGCAGTGGTTATCTTCATTAGACCAGTTGGGCTCGCATCCTGACTGCTGGCTTCCCTTTATCTTTATGTTTGACTTCTCTAATAATTCTGTAGGTTACTTGAAGTGGTAATAAAATTTTATCTCCACAAAGAAGTAACGGTTAATTTATGAACCGAGAACATTGGTACTTTCACTGCTCACTGAATGCCTCCCCCCACCCACACCCCTCCCAATATATGTGTACCTCATAGGAACCCTTTAGGACAGGGTAGAAGTGCTCCTCTGAGCTTCAGAGACTAACTCTTTATGGAAGTAGAAAGCCCGTCTTTCTCCCGAATCGATGGCAGTGAGTTTGGGTGTTTTTTTAAAAATATTTGGTTGAGTTCTGTCAGCTCTTTAATGCATGAAAAATGTCTAAGCAACTTGCTACTGATTATCATTTCAGGTGTGCTATGATTTGGGTGCAGTATACTTCCAGCAAGGTTCTACAAATCCAGCTGTCTATGAAAATGCCAGGCAAAAATTTTTTCGAACCAAAGAACTAATTGCAGAGGTAAATACAGATGTGGCAGACATTGAATAGTCCCTTAAAACATTGGTATATATTTTGGCTTTTGTTTTCTTTAATGATTATAAAAGGCCATTGTAGTAAATTTGGAAAATTCAAAAAGCACTAAAAACTTTTAAAAACAAATCTTTAGTACTGCTGTCTGGAGAATAAACCTTTTTAGTATTTTAACATACTCTGCTTTTTGTTTTTCTGTGTATTTTTAATATAATTAACTCATACTATACATACACTATTTTGGATCTTGCTTAAATCTTGGAATTGACATTTTAAATGTACCATATTCCATTATAGAGACACTGATTTACTTTATATCCTTATTATGTGGGTGTTTAAATTTTCCACTTTTAATTTATTTTTAAGCTGAAACATCTGTCACTCCAAGCATAAATCTCTGTCTGGAGTCTAGGTACTTTTTCAAGTTAGAATCTTACAAGTAGAGTTACTATATCAACAAGTATTGATGTTTTTGTGTGTGTGGTATTGCTATTTTTAATAGCTAAAACATAAATCAAATTGCTTTTTAGGTACATTTTTCTCAGTAACACTTTAATTAGCAGTGAATGTAAAAAAACAAATTATGCTAACTTGATGGGTGAAAAATAAAACTCTTATAAATTTGTATTTACTTAATTACTAAGAAGGATAAAACTTCATGCTTTATCATTTGGAGACGTTCTGGTGGTGGTGGGCTAAGTGCTGGACTGCGAGCCCAAAGGTCAGCAGTTGGAGCCCACCAGCCAACTGCTCTGGGCAGACGGTCTGGCAGTCTGCTGCTATCACGACTCTCGGGCCTGAAAGCCCACGGCTCCATAGGGCTTCTATAAGCTGACATTTCTTTTTTATGATTCAGGTAACAGAATTTTAAAGTAGATAGCTAGGTTCTTGTATGCCTGGTGCCTAGAAACTTTCCCATTTCAGTTTATCCTTTCCTCACCAGAGAAGTGGATTGATTAAATGCTTTAGGAATATATCTTAGACCCAATGGCAACCCTATTTTGTGTTGCCTGGGGAAATTCATCATACTTATAAATTTATGCCTTTTCAGTTATAGTAACTTAAAACACTTCCCCCCCCCTCAATTTTCTGTTATGGTAGAAACCTTCTTTTTAATTTGCTGAAGAGTAAATTAGCTTTGTTTCTTCCCTCACCCTAACTCCCATCCTGTAATCTGCTTGTTTTATGTATTTTTAAAAATTTACGTTTAAATTTAACAGTGTTCTCTCTGTTAATCATGGTCTTAATGATCATACCTGCTTTACGTGGCAGTGATGTGTACCTTGTAGAAGTTGCCCTGAAAATGTTAAGCCAGGGGTTAACAAACTTTTTCTATAAAGGGCCAGGTAGTAATTGTTTTAAGCTTTGTGTACCACATGCTATACTTACTGAATATATATTTATCTCTCTTAATGCTTTGACATTGTAAAAATTCTTCTTAGCTCGAGGTCTGTGTAAAAGCAGAAACAGGCCATATTTGGCCTGAGGCAGTAGCTCGGTAAACCTTGTTCTAAACCTGTTCATTTTTGTGGTTTCTCTAACCTTGAAATTGTCATTTTTTATTATCTTGTTACTATTAAGATGCGCTCTATGAGTGCTAGCCTGTGGTTTATGTTACATTAATGGATAATGGTATATACCCTCTTACTTTACAGATAGGTTCATTATCTCTTCATTGTACCATAGATGAGAAGCGCTTAGCTGGCTATTGTCAAGCGTGTGATGTTCTTGTACCTTCTTCTGATAGTCCATCTCAGCAATTGACTCCATATAGTCAGGTCCATGTTTGTTTGAGATCTGGCAACTATCAGGTAAGACTTATGATGGGGATGGAGTGGTATATACCTCGAAAGTTGGAAGCCAGACAATAATGGATTCAAATCCACTAGTTGTTCCATGATTGGGGCAAGTCTGTTAAACTCTCAGACTTGCCCATGATAACTAACCCTGCTTCCTAAGGCTCCCAGGAGAATCAGTGAGAAGTGATGGTTTATAAACTCACAGGCAAAGCACTATACCAATGTCAGTTCATTATTGTTAATATTATCCTACCTTTTAAAAAAAAAAAGGTGTAGAGTTCACACATTTAAAATACATGCTGTAAAATAACCCTTTAAGCAGGACTTTTAAAATTACATAAACGGCTTTTTAGTTTTATGGAGCCTGAAGTCTTATGGCTGTTTTGAAATTAAGAACCTGTATGTGTCCCAGCCTTACTAGATAGTCTCAGGTAATAAGGCCTTGGAAAATGAGCAACTTTACGAAGTTCAGATGGTCTATTGCCGAGCCCACCTTGTCAAAGAAACTGGTGGTGGTATCTCAGTTTTACTGAAAAGGTTTTAATTAGTCTGAGATTCCCACCCCTCGGTGGGCACATATCTTTGGTTTTACAATGAAAATACTTAGGAATTAGCATTTGTGCTTTTAAAATCTTTATTGACCAGCCATGGTTGTAGAGCGTAAATAGTGCCTTCGTGTTACTGAATTCAGAATAGGATCATGAAGTGGCAAAGTGACAGACTTGGGTTGTAGATCTCCCAGAGGGCTTGGAGCACAGCTCTCTACTTCATACTTCTCACGTAGAGTATTTTTTCACTGAAAATGTGAGGGGGTGGGCTATCACTTCCTCCACCTGTCTCCAGTCATGCTCCAATTCTGCCAGAGGGAATATGCTATAACTATTTTGAAAGATAGATGAACCAAACAGATGATTTCCTAAAAGCTAGAGCTCTTGTAGTTATGTCTGCCTATTACCAGTGTATGGAGGGTGAGGATCAGTTTTGGCAAGATAAGAATTCTTTCTTTTAAGATGCCACTGGGAGCAGTTATCCCTTCCCCAGTCGAATAAATGGGTGAGGTAGTGTAGCTGCTTTAAAGAAAGAAAGAAGGAAATGTTATCCCTAGCTAGGCACATGTGACAATGACTGTAATAAGTGTCAACATGAGTAAATAAAAAAATGGTGGGTTAACTAGGAAGGAACAATGGCAGTTTTTTGTTTTTTGTTTTTAAGGACAAAAGCAATTTTGTTGTAATTCTGAAAATGTTTTATGTTAGTGGTGCCAGGCTATTTTAGGAAAATATTTTATCTTTGCATAGGATTTTCTTTTGTGAATTATATGTATGTGTTTTTTAAGAGGTGAGAAAAAGACATTTGTTAATGTCTATTTGCTATAATTCACCAAGTAATATTTTAAGGCATTTAAATTTCTTAGAAACTTTCTTAGCATACTTTTCCCAGCTAAAGTGATTTTAAATGAAGTGCTTTTATATTATGAAGAGTTTTTATTTGTAACATGAATCTGTGCTTAATGTGGATTCGAAGACTGCTTTCAGTTTCTAATGAAATAGCTGATGCGCCTCTTCTGTATTCCTCCTTCACTGCTCATTTTGGGTCCAGGAATGTCAGTTTTCAGAAAGAGACTACTTGTAAATTTTAGAAAGAAAATACTTTTTCTCAGGAAGATATTTCATTGGTTTTATTTAACTTGTATTTGTCATTGTAGGCAAACTTTAAGAAATTAGTGATGAGTTTTGAAATGATGCTCTTTTATGTCTGTGTTCTAGGAAGTAATAAAGATTTTCATTGAAGATAACTTAACCTTCAGTTTACCTGTCCAGTTCCGACAGTCAGTTCTAAGAGAACTCTGTCAGAAAGCTCAACAGGGGTAAGTTAATTGAAAAATTACTGATTTTTAAAATAAAAGAGCAAGTACTTTTATAATTTATCAAACACACCTCTAAAGTGTCTGGGACCGTCGCTTCAGTGTTGTCAATTATAAGGGATACTAGCATAGCCAGAGAAGCCTTTCTAATGTTCTAGGCAGTTGTAAAGGCTCTTGCGAGAAAAGAATATGCATAGTAGATTTCCATCTTATTACTTAATAAGTAATAAATGATCTGATAAATGCCAAACCATTCTGGGTTTTGTTGGCCCCTGACTTGGCATGTGGCATTACCTAGTGTGCTTGAGTATCTAAAATCCCACTTCTCAAAAATAAATGGCTCATTCTTGTGAATTTGGTTTTGCAGTATACCCTTCTCTTTTATACTTAAAATAATATTAGTGGATCTACTTTTGTATTCTACAGAAATGAAGCTCTAGATGAAATCTGTTTTAAAGTCTGTGCCTGTAACACAGTCCGTGATATATTGGAAGGTAGAACAATTAGTGTTCAATTTAACCAGCTATTTCTTAGATCTAATAAAGAGAAAATAGACTTTCTTCTTGAGGTAAGACATTGTTTTCCGTTTTGTTCTATGATTTTGCTTTACGTTGACCATTGACCTCTTTTTTTGCCAAATCCAGGGCCCCCTTTCCAGCCCTTATCGGACTTGCCTGCAACTCTAGCTAATGGTTGATGCTCCTTTTAGCTCTTTCAAACTTCTTTGACATGGTTGTTTCGTCTGTCTTCTTCACTGGCTCTCTTCAATCCTTCATGAACGCCTCTCTCACTCTGCATGTAGGGTTTTGCTTTAACAGTTCTGTCCTTGACTCAGTCATCTTCTCATATTATTTTTAATTCTCATCTAAAGTTTTAATAATCACCGATTTATTAAAAACTCCCAAATCATTCCTTTCAGCTTCTCCTGTAAACTCCACAATCCGTTTCTGCCAAATCTCTGCCTTTTTCTTTACAGCTTCTTTAAATTGTGAATTTATTTGGAATCAACATTGACAGAAGTACAAATATACCAATTACTTCCAGAAATGGCAGCAGTTTAGGAGCAATTTTTTTCTCTTTACCAACCTCCCTTCTGGAGAAAACCACCGCCATGACTGTTGTGGTAATCAGTTCTGTGCTTTCCTGACAGTTACATGTGCTCTGAAAAAGTGTCCATTCTGCCCACGTTGACCTTTTTAGAAATGGGTCACACAAAATGTATTCTTTGTCTTCTTCCATTCAACATTTTATTTGTGACATTTATCTAAGTTTTGTGTGTACAGTTTTTTTTATAATTTTTTATTGTTGAAAAGTATAATAAGACCATGCCACAATTTATTTGTCCTTTCTTAGTATGATGAACATTCAGTTTGCTTATAATTTTTTTTACTATTCTGCTTGGAAAATAACTAGTGTACTGATGCATCGATGTGTTTCAGTTTGTCTCTGATACATCCCTGGGGAAAATGTATCAGTAAGGTACGTGGTAATATCAAAGTGGTATGCCAGTTAAGATTCTTTTTAGCGTGCAGGAGAAAGTTTCATTGGTTAGCGTTCTTGCTAGTACTTGGTATTGTCGAATTTCTCTCTTAGAGGTTTTCATTCCCATTTTCCTTATTACTAAGGAATTTAACAACTTTTCCTTTGTTTTTTGCTCATGTAGATTTAATCTTTTGATACTGAGTCCAAGTGTTATGCATTTTTCTTGTCATTTTAAAAGCTCTTAATAAAATTTCAGTCTTTGCCTGTATGACTTGTGAATTGTGTATGTTTTAAGAGAACTTTTCCAATTCTAATATCATGAAGATTGTCTGTAGTTTTATCTTTAAAAGTTTTATAGCTTAGTCTGCATTTTATGTTTTGGTCTTTAATCTACCTACAGTTGAATTTTTTGTATTATGTGAAATAGAGGTCTAATGTCATACCCTCTCTACTCCCTCCACATATGACTGTAGTTGTTCTAACACGCCTTTATTTGAATGTTCATCTTTTTCAACCAGTTACAGTACCATCCCATTGTATGCCAGTTGTCGAGACGTCTGTTGGCGTATTTTTGGGTTCTGCTTGGCACAACTTTCCGTTTGTCTGCCTGTGCATTGGTATCCCTGTGTATCATGTACAGCAAGTTCTCCCATGTTATTTTGTCCTTTGCATTTTCATGTAAGAAAATTCAGATGCTCAACTTTCACAGATAAGCATATTTAAATTTCATTTGGAATTACTACATTAAATTTACTAATTTGGGAAGAATTTATATCTTTATGCTCATTTAGGCATTCTTTGATGCTCTTCAGAGTTTTATTATAATTGTTTCATAGAAGTCTTACATAAATAACATGCATTAATATAAAGTCTTACATAAATAGCTTAGACATTAATATAAAGGTAAAGTTGAACTTTGTGCAGTGACATTGTATCCAAAACCCTTCCTAGATGCTTTCAAATGCTAATATATTACCTGTAGCTTGTGTTTATTAATCAGATCGTTTCTGTGTGTGATTAAGGAACGTGACATTTGCTGTTCTTTTTACTTGTTTTTGCCGTGCCGCTGGCTGAGATCTCCAGAGAAGGTTCAGTACAAGTGGCAGTAGTGGGTACCCAGTCTCATCCCACCCCAGAGGGACAGCTTGGACTCTCTTCATTAAGAATGATGTTTATTTTCTGGATCATTTTATACATACTCTTCCTACCAGATTAAGGAAGTTTTCTTCTATCCTTAGTTGGCTGCGATGGTTCCCCCCTCCTGTTTTTTAAAAAAATCATGAATGATTTTTAGATTTTATTAAGTACTTTTTTTCCTATCCTACTTAGATGATCATCTACTTTTTTCCTTTAATCTGTTAGTGTGAAATGCGTGGATTGATTTTCAAGTACTAAACTACAAGACATGTCTGGAATAAATACCTATTTTAAGGTTCTTTTTCGTATTCGTGTGTGAGATATATGCGTTATTTTTTCTTCCCCTGTGTTTGCTTTTCTGGGGGCCAACTTCATGCTGGCCTCAAGGAAGGTGAGGCGGTCTCTTCTTGCCGGGAAGGGTGGGCTGTGTCAGAGCAAGCATTGCTGCTTTCGGGGCCTGGTAGGGTGCACCTGTGAGGCCACTGGGCTGGAAATATTTTTGTACCAAGATTTTTTATATCACTTGAATTTTGTCAGTGATGATCAGAATGTCTTTTTCTTAAGTTAACGTTGATTCTTTTTAAGTTGTCCACTTCATCTAAATTTTGAATTTTATTAGTATTACGTTTTTTTATTATCTGTTCAATGTTTTCATCATTTATAAAGATGTCTTATTTTTTTCTGAATAACAAAATATTGATGTAGGATTCCCATAATATAAAATCAACCATTTTAAACAAATTAATTGTTATTTAGTCCAGTCACAATATTATGTAACCACCTTCTCTTAGGTAGTTCTACAGTATCTCCCTTCAAGGAGACCCCATGTTCGTGATGAAATTCCTCCCACTGCACTCCCCTGTCCCAGACCTGTGACTGACCAGCCTGGTTCCTTTCTCTCTGGACTTAACCTATTCTGGATGTTTCCTATCGTTGGAATCACACAAAAAGTGATCTTTATGACTGGCCTCTTCCACTTATCATGAAGCTGTCCACGTTCATTCATGTAGTAAATAAATAGCATTACTATTTTCTAAGGCTGAATAATATCCCTCTTTATGCATACCCCACAGTTTAGCTGAATTAGCTTTAAAATGAAGAAATATTTCAAAACAGCAGTTTAGACAGATACAATAGACCAGACCATACTTGTTAATTAGCTCAACTGTTACCATGTTTGGGGTCCTCTTTGGCAAAATATCTGTTCAAGTCCTTTGCCTGTTCTATGGTTGGCTTGTCTTTTTGTTGTTGTTGAAGTTTTGTATTTATTATTCATGCTTAAAAATTCTTTACTGGACACCTAAACCATGTAGATAGAAAATTATACTCCTGAAAACATTTTCAATAAAGAAGTAGTTGCCATAAAAAATGGTAATAAAAATTCTTACTGGACATATGATTTCCAAAGATAATTTCCCAGTCTTCTCACTGTTTTGGTAAATCTTTTGATGAGCAAGAGTTTTTAATTTCTATGTGGTTTCATTTATTTTGTCTTTTGTGTGCTATTGTAATGGATTAATCTTTTTTTGGGGGGGTTAATTAAAAGATAATTTTATTGGGGGTTCTTACAACTCTTATTACAGTCCACATAGCGATTGCATCAGACATGTTTATACATATGTTGTTGCCATCATTCTTTTCTAGACGTTTACTTTCCATTGAGCCCTTGGTGTCAGCTCCTCTTTTCTGCCCCTCCTTCGTCCCCCACCCTGGATTAATCTTTATAATACCTACAGCTTCTGAAAAGTTCAGTCTCTGCTCCCTCTCCCATAATTCATTCTTTGATCTTATCTCTACTTAAGTTAATACCAAATCTGTGCTGCTTTGGGTTGAAAAAGGAAAATTTATTTTTAATGTTAACTTTTCAAGGTATAATCTGCATTCCTTCAAGTATTTTTCATGTAAAAATTACTCTTAATTCCTAGGTATGTTCAAGATCAATAAATTTAGATAAAACTTCAGATTTGTTGAAAGAAAACATGGCAGCTTTTTTAAAGTAAGTGTCATTCATTGTCTTGAACAGTTTCCTTAGTCCTGTGAGAAAAGTTTGCTTTTTTATTTGTATTTGCCCTAAATATCTTAGAACCAGACAATAACTGCCATTTATATCCAGGCTAGGTGAAATTCAAATCTGTGTGGGCACATGAAATGTTAGGATCATTTAAGTTGCTTTGGTTGTGTGTTTGTTGCGTGGACATGAAAGTGTTAAATAAGGACCAAAGTGAAAGTATTATTGTATGATTTACGAATGGGTGGCTTTTAAAATAACTTAATAGAAATTCATTAATATGATTGTTTTCCCCAACTAAATTATACACTTTTTGTTTTGTAATATTTCTTACTGATCTAGGAATGTGTGTCTGGGGTTGGAAGATCTGCAGTATGTTTTCATGATTTCTTCACATGAGCTTTTCATTACATTGTTGAAAGATGAAGAACGAAAGCTACTTGTTGATCAGATGAGGAAGCGGTCCCCTAGAGTAAATCTGTGCATTAAACCTGTAACTTCATTTTATGATATCCCAGGTTAGCTCTCTAGTCTGCTAGCTAAATGTTGGCACATTTTGCCCATCTCTTCAAATTAGCCTTGAAATATACTTGAGGATGCCCTCTTATTTGTTTTACTGTTTATACTTATGTCAATAGCTGATAGAAATTTACCTGTTCTCCATATTTCTTTTTACATACAAATAGCTAAGTGCTTAGACTCTTGCTGTGTCTGTGGACAGTGGGGATGTAGTCAAGATACATAAAGGATTTTAACTGGGAACATAGACCAGTGTACCTGCTGCTAATAGATTGTTGGAGGTAAAAAAAGAAAAGATAAAAAACAGGAGGTACAACTTTTATATGTTGGACTTTTAACTGATGTTTTTATACTACTATATTGGTAAATCCCAAACTAAATACCAAATTTCATGCATTTTGACCTATATCACTGATACTGTCATCTGGCTACATGTTCAACTTAAGCAGCATTGTTGTTTTTGCCTCACTAGTTTACAATTTTTAGCATTATTTTTTAAATAAGCATAAGCTTCAAAAGTTAATACGGGTGAGACAGACTTTGATTGGTTTAACAAAAGCAAAATTGTAGCTGCTCTGGCCCTCACTAACTTTAAACTGGTTGGCTTTGTCCAGTTGTAAAGAAAGGTAGTAACATGGATTCAAGCTAAATGCCGCCGCTGTGCGGTGGAGGGCTTGCCTCTGCAAGCTGGGCTGTATGTAATTAGCAGTGATCCACACTTGGTTCTGCTGGAGGAGAAAACCACCCCCTTGCTCCTCGGAAAGCACATGCTGCGAATATTACTCAAGATGATGCTTTTCTAATGCATTATGTCCCTAAGAGGACAATTTATACAAGTTAGCTCTTTAGACAAATTCTTTTTGTTAACCAATCGTTCACTATCACCTTGGAATACGTTTTCAGTTATTTATGTCCTAGCTGCATTCTTGCATTCAGTATAGTAATAAAATGTGTTAGGTTTATGTTCAGTGAATCACTTCTCTTTTATAAGAACTACTTTTAACTTAATTGATGAATTAATACATGCAATACATACAAACATATTCACTTTCTTAGATTTTTAATTAAAACATGATTGAAATCGAGCTCTGATTTCTTTCTTTCTCTTAAGCTTCTGCAAGTGTGAACATCGGGCAGTTGGAGCACCAGCTTCTTTTGTCAGTGGATCCCTGGAGGATTCGGCAGATTTTAATTGAATTACATGGTATGACTGCAGAGCGCCAGTTCTGGACAGTGTCTAACAAGGTAAAGGACTGTCTGTTAAGAACAGATAAAGATAAAGCCCCCTTTTTTATGTAAAAAAAATCTAGGGTCTTCACATGCAATAATGTCCCCTGAGAGAATATCCATAAAAAGTATTATTTAAAAATGAGTTTGTTTCATTTTTGTCATAGTATTTTCATGTCATTAACATATAGCTATAAGTTTAAATGTAGATATATAAATAAGATATAAAATGAAATTGGCTATCAAGTCAATTCCAACTCATAATGACCCTGCAGGACAGAATAGAGCTACTCCCATAGGGTTTTCCGTGTCTGAATCTTGACGGAAGCAGGCAGCGTCCGTTTTCACCCTTGGAGAGGCTGGTGAGTTTGAAGCACTCTTTTCAGGTAGAAGTTAAGTGCTTAGGCTTAATCATGGTGCCACAGACCTTCTTAAATATATATATGTTACATTAGTCATGTAATTTTAGCAAGTAAGTAATTGCTATTTTCTGTGTAGGGGTTTTGTTCTTGTTTTTTTAATCCATCTTGAAGTCTCCTGCCTGTGGTCTGGAATCACTTCATTTTAAAGACATTTCTTTTAAAGAATGTTTTTAACTTTGGATGTTCTTTAAAAACAAAAATGACAGCTCCCAGTGGATATTTCTGAGATTGCCTATTTACGCATTTTTCGGCACGTGTGAAATGCAAGGGAGAAGTAGCTTGTCAAGTACTATTTGAGAGGAATGTAGGTAGACAGATAAGAGAAATAGCTCATAGATACAGGAGGGATTAAAGTAATACAGGAATGCTTCTGTGTCTTCCTCTGTTACATTACTTGTAAAATAGCCAGAAATTTATGTTTATTTGATGAGGTTAAACATACAAGTACAAAAAAAATAGAAGTACAGTAAATTGGTATAATACTCTCAATGTTACTAAGACTTCCTCAGTATTTATATTGCTACACATGAGGAAATGCAAAAAATAGTTGAGAGGAGGTTCTGGGACTACATGTTCTGAGTTGGACTCCCAGGTCCATTCTTATTGGTGGTATTACCTTGGAGAAATTAATAAATGTTTCTCTGTCTCAGTTATCTTATTTGTGAAATGTAGGTAGTAGACTCCTTCATGGTATGGTTGTGAGGGTCACATGAATTAATACATGTAGACCTTCTAGGACAGGTACTGGCTCTGTTCAGTATTAAACTAAGCTTAACCTTAGGGCATTTGATCCTAGACTGTCGATGAAAGTAGCACAAATAAGAGCTCAATGAATTCCATTTTGATTATATATAAAACAAAACCAATAATTTTACGAAGTCCTTTGGTCCATGCCTAATGATTACAAACCAGAGGAATGTATGATTAAGATGGAGGGGAACACAGTTTAGAACTTATTTTAGGAACATAAAGCAGGCGTAGTAGAGTGACGTAAGAAAAAGATGCAGCTGCTAAGAAATGTGTTTGTAGGAGCCCGTTGTGTTCTCTGACATAGTGGTGTCACAGAATTATCTGAGAGCAGTCCAACAACAAAAGCCAAGTTCACTGCCATCAAGTTGATTCCAACTCACTGCCACCCTGTAGGACTGTAGGACAGAGGTGAACTGCCCTTGTGGGTTTCTAAGATTATACATCTCTACAGGAGTAGAAAGCCTCATCTTTCTCCCTCAGAGCAGCCAGTATTTTTGAACTTATCACTTGGTGTTCGCAGCTCAAGGGGTAAGCCACTGATCCACCAGGGCAGCTCCTTGAGCAATAAGCCAGTATCATGTCATGTCCCTCTTCACCTCTGCTCCTGCGCTCACCCTCCCTGCACAGCTGTGGTCTACAAGACAAAAGATGCACATCAAAGTGTTGTGGTTTCATTTACTTTTTCCATAGACCATCCTTCAGACATTTCCAATTCCTGTAACTACTTCTGACTGGCTCCTTTTGTTTAATTAGCATTTCATTACGGTTGCTGTTTTCCTTTCTTTCTTTTTTTTTAACATTTTATTAGGGGCTCATACAACTGTTATCCCAATCCATACACACATCAATTGTGTAAAGCGCATTTGCACATCGTTTCTCAAAACATTTTCTCTCCATTTAAACCCCCGACATTAGGTCCTCATTTTT